GATGATATACAATCAACAAATATATGAAAAACTTTTCATCATCACTAGCAATTAGAGAAATGCAAATCAAAATTACCCTAAGATTTCACCTCACTCCAGTCAGAATGGCAGCTATTATGAAGACAAACAACAATAAGTGTTGGCAAGGATATGGGGGGAAAAGGTACACTCATATACTGCTGGTGGGACTGCAAATTAGTGCAGCCAATATGGAAAGCAGTATGGAGATTCCTTGGAAAACTGGGAATGGAACCACCATTTGACCCAGCTATCCCTCTCCTCAGTCTATACCCAAAGGACTTAAAAACAGCATACTACAGGGTCACAGCCACATCAATGTTTATAGCAGCACAATTCACAATAACTAAACTGTGAAACCAACCTAGCTCTTCAATAGATGAGTGGAAAAAAAAATGTGGCATACATATATATATATAATGGAATACTACTCAGCAATAAAAGTGAATAAAATCATGGCATTGCAAGTAAATGGGTGGAGTTGGAGAAGATAATTCTAAGTGAAGTTAGCCAATCCCAAAAAAACAAATGCTGAATATTTTCTCTGATATAAGGAGGCTGATTCATAGTGGATAGGGAGGGGGAGCATGGGAGGAATAGACGAATTCTAGGACAGAGGGGTGGGAGGGGAAGGGAGGGGACATGGGGTTAGCAATGATGGAATGTGATGAATATCATTATCCAAAGTACATGTATGAAGACACGAATTGGTGTGAATATATAATCAGAGATATGAAAAATTGTGTTCTATATGTTAATAAGAATTATAATGCATTCTGCTGTCATATATAAATAAACAAAATTTTTATAATAAAAAATCTAGGATCAGAGAAATTATATATGTGGCCTAAGCATTTTACCAGCCTCGGGCAAGTCACATAACTCAAATCTCAAGTACTTCACTAGCAAAACTAGGATAACACTACCTACTTTGAAGGTTATTAAAGGGATTAAATAAAATATTTAAAAGGTACCAAGGCACATAGTTGATGCCTAGTAATTATTTTCTTTTTCCATAGAAACAACATTAAATATGACATATGCACTGGCTAAACAGTTTCCAAACTAAAAGAAAACCCAACTAAAGAAAATCCTATTTAACTCTCACACACTTAGCTCTAAAGCCCAGCTGACTCATGCAGCATTCAACAACGATTTACAGTTGCAAGCACAGTGCTAATAGGGAGAAAGACAGACTTACTTTCTACCCTACAGAACAGGGTCTCATGAAATGACAAGACAAGTAAAATGCTGGGTACAAAGCCTTTGATAAGAAAAGCTCTGGCTACTTAAAATAGGCACTTACAGGTTTGAGATCAGGAAAGAGATGTGTATAAAGCTTGCTTCCTTCCATACCCACCATCCTACTTTAAGGTACTGTTTTTAAAATGTCTGGAGCAGAGATTTTAGAAGGGCAGTGGTTTTTTGTTGGATATAAGATAAGAGAATTCTGAAAGGACAGAAAAGAAAAAGGAAACCTGTAAGCAGTTTTAGGGAAAAATTATGAAAGCCATATCTGGGAGGCAGCTCAAGAAGGAAGAACAGCTCAGAGTCATACTACCCGCGCTTCTCTTTCCTTGGGTCATCCCCAGAATGGCCCTGACAGTCCAGATTGGCAAGGGAGATGGGGGACAGAGGGGAGAAAACAAAAATCCCATCTCAGCAATGGAGAGGGAAAGGAAATTCCTGTGGGCAAACTGTAAATGAGGCCACATTAAGTTCTTTCCTTCATTATGTTTTTCCTTCTTTATGGCAAAAACCACCTTATAACCACAATTCTGTGATGGGTTCCTAACAAGTCTCACCTGCAGAGTCTGCTTTCTTAAAATAATTTTCTATAACATCACAAAGCTTACATTCCTTAGACACTCCTTAATCTTTAAATTCCCACACTAAATTACCATCTGGATCAAGTTCATACTTCAGCAGTAATCAAGGCCTTGAATGCAGTTCAAATTAATATTAATTGCCAGTGATACACAAAGGCTATATGGAAGGCACAGAGAATTATGCCTGAAAAGGGAACACCTAAATATATGGAGCAAGGAAGAATCTAACAAATCAAACTTTCAGGACTGCACAGTTCAATTTCCAGCTAGGGAGATGTGACATATTGATTCATGAAGGAAGCAGTTCTCCTAGGCTCTGAAGGAACAAAAGGACATAAAGCAGCAGGGATAGATGAGGCCAACATTTTCACATGGGGTAATAATAAAAACAAATAAAATGTGTCAAGAAAGTATATGATGTGCCCAGGAAAAATGTCAGCTCTACTTGTGTAACTCAATCACCCCCACTTCCCTATGACATAGCATGATGTCACCAATCTTGGATCAGACTGCCTGGGTTCAAATCCTAACTCTACCACTTGGTATCATGTATGGCCTTGGACAAGTAACACGACCATTGCATGCATCAAATTTCACAACTATAAAATTGGGGTAACAATGATGGTGCTGACATCATACAGTTTCTCTGGAGCACAGAAATAATAATAATAATAATAAGTCTAGCCTGACATCAGGACAAATGAATCTGATCAACAGTCTTATATGAAATGTACAACCATCTGACTACTTCCAAAGCATATGCATTTGCAGAAAACGAACCTGAATTAGGGTAGTGGCAGCTGGGATAGACAGGAGAAACACTGATCAAGACTGTAGAGAAAGACATGCAAGCACACTACCAGCAAAGTGCAAGATGGGAAAGAGAAAGAAGATCAGAAGAACACCCTTTCACCCATCTACCAAAATATCTATACATTCAGTCACATACTATTTTTGATTCTGCTGTTCTCTGAACACCTAGAGGTTCTGGAGTTTGAAGGAAAGTTTGGAAGAATGTTGTACAAGGCCCTTTACATATTCCTCATCAGGCTTTCATATCCTCTAAATTAGTAAACTCCATAGGCTACTTTTCCATTAGGACAAAAATGAATACCCAAAGCATCATACATGGGTACATCACCAGATGAAATATACCAATGTTCAAGAATTCCAAGAGTTCCAAAGTTAAAAATAATTTTAAAAATAATTTTTCCTGGTGGAATACTATTTCGAGTTTGGTGTCAAAAGAGCACAAATCCATTATTAATGAAATCTGAAACAATGTCACATGGATTTGGCCTCCTCTGAGCTGCAATAGCTTGGAACATACCCACACACCACATGTAGCTTCTTTTCTTTCATCCCTGGATGAGGCTTGTCAGCTGCCACCCTGAGGGAGGTCCCATCACCTTGCATGCAACACATCAATCAGGCTGTTCTATTCAGCTTGTTGTTTGATAGGTGGAGGCAAACATACAAGTCCATAAAACAAAAGATACCTTGCCTCTGTTTTTTTTATTCATCCACTGGTACCTTATGTCCCTCAAGTATAATACAGGCCATTGTTCTTTTCCACTTGAAATCTATAATGCTAATTACATATTTCCAACTACTTAAAAATATAACAAAATAATTTACAACTAATAATTCTGCAAGCTGAAGAAATTGCTTTTAGGCATATGTTTGTAAATATGCATGGGAAAAATTGAAAGAAAAAAAACCCTAAATGTTAACAGTGATTATTTCTTAATGACGGAATTATGAGATTTTTTTTAAAGAAAGAGAGAGAGAGAGAGAGAGAGAGAGAGAGAGAGAGAATATGAATCTTTTTTGTAGATGGACACAACACAATGCCTTTATTTTTATGTGGTGCTGAGAATTGAACCCGGGTCCCGCCCATCCTAGGCGAGCGCTCTACAGCTGAGCCACAATTCCAGCCCCGAGAGAGTTTTTTTTTTAAACATTTATTTTTTAGTTGTAGTTGGACACAATACCTTTATTTCACTTATTTATTTTTGTATGTGGTACTGAGGATCAAACCCAGGGTCTTGCATGAGCGAGGCAAGCGCTCTACCCAGCCCCTGAGAGATTTTTATTCTTTATTCTTCATACACTTCCAATTTTTCTTAGGCATATAGTACCTTATAATCAGAAAATTTAAAAAGGAAAATTTATTTTAAGTTTTTAAAGCTTTTCTATACAAATAAAAATCTAACAATACTTACTTACCCCAAGTCATATACTTGGTCTTTCATTCAGCTAGATAAGAGAGTTCCAGACCAAGCCAAAGAACCACAAAGTTCCTCCATGCTAAAGGGTTCTTACAACTAACAAGTTGCTTAATGAGATTTTTTTCTAAAAGAGAAAAGCTTTCTGTTTGATTGCAAATACTTTTAGTATGTTTCACTAAAAGAGCATTTATTATATAATTCTCTTAAAAGTTAACCATAAGGGTTTTTAACATTTTTTTAGTTGTCAATGGACCTTTATTTTACTTATTTATATGCAATGTTGAGAATCAAACCCAGTGACTCACACATGCTAGACAAGTGCTCTTCTGCCACTGAGCCACACCCTCAGCCCCTCCATCAGGATTTTAAATAGGAAAAACAACAAATCTTCATCTGATGGCATATTTTGTTTGGACTCCGAATGTTAAGGATCACAATCATTATATTATACTGTAACTAAGCCTCAATATTCCATTAAGAGACAATGCACAACCCAAACTTCTGCACATTCTAAAGTAGAAATTAATATTAAAAGTCAGTAGGAGGTTAAGATAAAAGAGGAAAAAATTGCTATGTTCCTAGAGGCTAGCATATATCATGCGTACAGATTTCTCCTTCTGGCCAGTTAGTTTCCCTGGGAAGAGGCTAAGCTTACCCACATGTACATCATATCTGTATCTAAAACCTTCCAAGTTACTCTTGCTGAAATGTGAACTTGAGAGAAAATACCAGACAAACCCCAAGGAGATTGGTCCATTAGGTTTTCACACAAAGAGATCACAAGGGTTAGTTGAAAGTGTCACAAATAAACATAACATCATTTTGTATGTTACCAGCTAGACTCAACAGTCAATAATATGGCTTCCAGAAATAAATCCTTAGGTGCCTGAACTGCAATGATAAACAGCCTTCCCAAACTCACCTGGGACCTGGAGACCTCTCTTTGTGGTGAATTTCTTCCTTCTCCCGACTCAGACACTGAGTTTGGGCCTGACATTAAAGACAATGTGGCTTTAGAAGTGGCAGTATGGTCTTGGGAGAAAGATGAGAAGGTCGGTGTAGGAGAGGGCAACCTCACCACACCTTCTCCTGCAGCTGCCTCGCTCTTGCTGGATGAGCTTGAGACCAACTGGCTATTGTCAGGCTTCTGGGCAGGTGTGTTGAATGAATTATTTTGGATTCTCTTACTACCTTCCACATCTCCATTATACTTCCAGCCATCATCCATCTAAATAGGAAACACTGTTTTAAACTTGATATTCTGTTACTTTATTTTCTGCTTAAAAAACATTTAACACGTTAAACCTACAAAAGTAAAATATACCTCACACAGCAAAGCATTGCTAAAAGCTTGGCATTCTTTCACACCAACAGATACATATTTTTATAAAGAAGAATTATTGTTATAAGATTTCATACAAATTTCTGAAACTTGCTCTGCTTGTTTACATTACTCAAGGCCAACAGACAAAACTCTAAACTGGTACCCCTAGTACCCTAAATTAATTCTTTAAATTGTTGAAAATCTCATAGTGTAGATGGCAATAATTCAAAACTTTAAAATTATTCAAGGTTTTTTGTCACTTCTAAAAAATATCACAACAAAATCCCATAGGTCTTTATAATGGGAACTCCCCCCACACAATTTTGCTAGATTAATTATAATGATCAAAATTTGCATCTACATATATATCATATATATATATATGCATATATCATATATTTTATATGAACATATATATAATTTCTAAAATTTAGGAATGTACTCACAACATGTAAGAATGCCTGTTTCTCTGCATCTTAACCAGCACTAGACATTTTCAGCCTTCTAAATCTTTGTCAGTCTGATGGGTAGAAGTTTATACATCTCACTCTTGCTCCAATGAGACCAAACATGCTTCTATGTGCTTTATGTTACCAGCCATTTAAATTTCCTTGCCCTTAAATTTGCCATGTTTTCTATATCAATTTTTCTATTATTTATCTTCCCCTTACCAAAGTATGAAAAAATTTTATACTTTAGAGATACTGACCCTTCATCTATAATAGTTTTCTTGACTCCATCAATCATCTTAACCATGATAATGACGTCCATCATATCAATTTATTCTTTTTAGTTATTAATGGATTTATTTTGTTTATTTATATGCAGTGCTGAGAATCAAACCCAGTGCTTCAACATGCTAGGCAAGCACCCTACCAATGAGCCACAATCCCAGCCCTCAATTTAATTTTTATGTTGTCAATATGCCTATATTTTCCTTAATATAATGACCACAGGTTTCCTGGCAGGTTCACCTCACCTCAAATACTCCAATTGTTTTAAGTTATATTTTTTTTTCTCTTCTCTATTTTAAGACTGTACATTGGCAGAACTAATAGGACTTTGCATATTAATGTTAAGACTGTATTGTTTCCTTTTATATAATTCAGATAAACATGCTGGATGTGTGATAATTCATTATGAGAAAAAATGCTGCAATATTGTTTATCCTTCAAAATCCCAACAGAAATATATATCTTGGAATAAACTATTTTAATAATTTTTTTCAAACATATCAAGTTCTAATGTGAGAAATCAGGATAAAATAGCAATCTGTATATAAACTCCTAAAATACTTAGGTTAAACTCCAGAAAATTGCTGTTTTATAGGTTGAAAAGAGGTAGCTACTGGCAATTTCATATTGTTCAACCTCATACTTTACAAAAGCAGTATCTGACTTTTTTTTGCAGTGTGATGGGTTGAACCCAGAGTACCATGCACACTAGGCAAGTACTCTACTATTGTGCTACAACCTCAGCACAAAAAACTGTATTTGAAAAAAAAAAAATAGTAGTTGAAAAGAATAAATGCACTGCTTTAGCATTTCTCTTATTTCATTATTTAAAATGTATCCTCTCTACTTTCACTGAATTTAAAGTTCCCCAAGTTTTTGCTCTTCAGAATAGACTAAATACACTAAGAGACATTTTTACCGTGAAGGATCTAGGGAGTGATGAGATTCCCCTTGACTGTGTGCCAAAAGGTCTCGGTGTGACCACAGATGTTAACCTGGCTGTATCAGTTTTCTGGTAACTTCTAGGGAGAGAAGATGAAACTCGAGTTGACTCTATTTGCATACTCAGGGAACGCTGAGAAGACAAAGAGGCTGGGTATTCTGCAGAGCTTGTAGAAGGAAACTGAACTTCAGATGCTACACTGTCCTGTCTTTCCATAAAAGTTATAGGCTCTTCTTTAGGAGTCTCAGGAGGATGTGTTGTTCCCTCCTCTTCCACTCTCTCGCTCTGATAACTGGCTTCGGACTGAGTCAGCGTAGCAGGTAGCTCTTCATCACTCAAAACATCGTCGGAGGAATACATCCTCCTAGATGTAATTGTAGACTTTTGATTTCGAGATTCCCTTCACAGAGAGAAACACACCATCACAACAAAGTTAGGCATCTGACACCAGAAGTGGAGGGGCTGTAATTAAAATTTAAATCATCTAGGACTAAAAACACCACTGACACTTAACAAAATAATCAACATAACACTATCAGAGTGTGATGATGTATAATTTTTTAATGCCCCAACTAACAAAGGTTATAAGAAGTTAATTTTTTTATTATTAAACAGGCTCTCTATTACTTTTTCATAAAGATATTACTTTTGAGGGAGATCATAGTTTAACAAGGAAATTTTAACAAGGGGCTATTCATAAAATTTTATCCAAAAGCTATAGGTTTCCAAATTTGAAACACTATATATAAATGACTAACAATCAATTTGAACCCTCCAAATCTGTGAATTCCTTGACAGCATTGTGAACTATTTGCTATATAAAATTTATAACACATTAGTAAAAGAGGACAAAGCACAAGCTTTAATGAAGATCCAGTCATTGTTTCATGCAGCTTGATAGAAATTCCATGGATAACAATAACAGACTAAAAGTAATTATTCATTTTTAAAGCGTTGATGAAACACGCTCATCTAACATTTAGTAAGGCTAATTGTGTTGCATTTAAGGAAAGGAAACTGTTAATCGTTGGCTGTTCAGACACAAAGGAGCTTTGTTTAATTTCACCTGGCAGCATATTTCCTCTTTGACATTATTCTTAAAGCATAGTTGCCTTCTCCAGAGCCTATAAATATCCTAAGATTTCACACAGTAACTGCTTTACAGGAGAGCTTAAATTTGACCTTTACCCTGCTATTTTGCAATGCACAGAATAAATAAACACATACATTAATGCTTATATAAGACTTCCTTTAAGATAAAATTTATATTCTATCACTAAAACAGAAAAAAAGAACTTTGTTGTATTTTATACAATTCAGTTAAAAGTGAGAGCTGATTTTATTTGCCCATTCCATTCCTAAGTTCACTTTAAAAGGGCAAAAAGTAGTATATTTTCTGCACCAAATACAGCCAATAGCTTCACTTTGTGTGTGAATGTACAATGTGAAAAAAAGAAATACTGTCCACCTATATTGAGTACTCATTCCTTTTGCTAATTCAAATCATTATTTTAGCATTTTTTTTAACTACAGAGCAAAATCCTAGATGTTTCATTCCATACATGATTAAGTTTAAAATGGGTAAACACATACCACACCACACTTACACAAAACCTCCATTTCTAACACCAGCATCTCCAACCATGACCTGTCTATTCGGCCCTGTTACCTGTCCTGCAGCATTTCCTTAAACGTTTTGGAGCTTCTCTCAGACTTCTCAAGTGCTTGTTTTTCAATTTCTTCCCTCTCTTCTTTTTTCTTCTGTAGATCTGAAGTGTAACTTTTCCGACGATCTTTCCATCTTGCAAGGTCCTGACAGAAAATCACATCAGCCGGGTCATACCTGAGTTCCTACACACCCTTTTCAGCAGTGAGAGTGCGCCAGAGGATCCTGTTACATCACCGAAGCCATTCACTCCCATTTGTGCCAAGGTGCCCCAATTTTGCTTTTTATAGCCGGTGTTTCTGTACCAAGCCTTTATCTCATGCATCTCTCTGAAAAAACTGACCTAATAAGATAGTTCCCATTTTTGTTTTCCCAGAAAGTGTCACCTCATTGCCCAGTTCAGAGAGAATGCTAAATGCGTGTAATTAGGTGTCAAATTAGGCAGATCAGGAACTGTTACAAATTCATTTTTGTCTTACTCCAAAAACCTAGCTGTTATGTGAAAGGATATGTTTTCTAGTACAATGGAAACAGATGTGTTAACTGCACCAGGTAAGTGCAGGTGCAGAATAGTCTCCTTTAACTAACAGGAGCTCCATCCCTATAAACACATATGAATAAGATGTAGTTCCCCTCAAGAAACTCAGCCTGGAAGGGAGAGAAACACAAGTGAATAAAGTTCAGTAATGAGTGTGACAGGATTGCATGGGAGAGTGAGGGTCTTATATAAAGACGGTTTAATTTTACTTCCATATGGGGAGAATTTGCAAAGTCTTCAAATTTGCTTCACTGGCCAGGGCAGACTCATATATAGGATGTCAAAGAGCGTATACTTCAAATGGATCAAGGGAATATGGAAGATCAGGTAGCCACAAGCCAATAGCTGTTTCCCATATCCCTAGAAATATTAAGCTTAACCAAGCTAGCAATATCAGGACAGACAACTTAATCCTGGTTCCCCCTAGAATTTCCCTAATAGCCTAGGCTAGTTCTGACACTTAGGGGTTTAAAACATTTTGAAAAGTACAAACTTTTCTATGTCTCCAAACAGAGAAATCCCATGCTAAGGATTGCAAGAGGCATTCCAGTCCAAACAGAAGTGCATCCAAGGTCTCAGACAAAGCCAAACCTCACCCCTAAGGCATGCAAAGTTTGATTTATACCCTTTTGGGGTAAACAGGACTATCCTGCTTCTAAAACAGCCTGAAATCAATATGAATTATTCCCATAAAGAACAAAAGGAGTGTGCATTTAGTCCTAGACAATAAGAGGCATGAATTTTCATCTGACTTAATGGATAAAAACCCCTCAATACTTTTTATTTTCATACCAAAATATTCACCATGCATTTTGGCAAAGTGAAATTGAGTTACTGTTTCTTGACAATTAAATTAAGTTCCCAATAAAAGAGGCATTGGAATTTGAAACTGAAGTCAAAACAGGCTTCATCATCATTACAAATATTTTAATTCCTTTGAAAATTAAGATTTACTATATCTGGCCATTTTGTTCATGCTACTATTCAACTCTCTTACCATAAAGTTGTCCTCAAACTATGTATAGCTTATCTGTTTTTGTTCTTATTATTCTTTCCATTTATAACAATTACTCCATTCAAAAAATTTTAAAATTATACTTTATTCTTTAGGATCAAAACTAAAACATCTCATTTTGATTCATACTAGATAATTCCTTCTTCAGCCAAAATATTACTCTTGGTTAATTTTTTCCCCAATCTCCTTAATAAATTTTAATAACCCTTTCATCTCTCCCTACTAATGCCAAGAGCTATGTTAGACCAATCCCAACCTTGAGCAAGGTCTTTTCCTATCAAAAGCATAATTAACAGTTTTACCCCAACTCAACACAAAAGCCAGAAAATAAACCCACTCTGCTTCAAGGAAGCAGCTTTGTATTTTTTGAAAACTCATAGAGAATATTAAGAACTAAATATTCTCTTACTTTTACCAGTGGTCTTTAGGATATGCAATAGTCACAGGTAAAACAGGCTCAAAACTCATTGGTGCGACTTTCTCCAGAACTGAATGCTATAAATAGCAAGAAAAACTCTCTCTCAAATATATTGACTCTCTTTCAAGAAAAGCAAATGCATGTTCTCCGTTTCCCAATTTAATAATACTCACATCCTGCCATTTCTGATCTTGTTCTTTTAATTGTGATTTAATTTTCTGCATCTCCTCATAACGCAATTGACGCAAGTTCTGAACATCCTCTGCGCTGACGTCACTCATGGACTTACTCCTAGAACAAAAACACCCACAGTCACGAAGGTTTGCATGTCTGGTCTTAAGGTCAAAATGAAGGCTCTTCTGTACCACCTAGACACTTTCGGTGATAGTATCACCGAAATAGCTCTGGAGAGATAAATGGTATTTTTCCAAAATGCAGAAACAAGAGCCTAGTACTCAACTTCGGTGTGAATTTTTTTGTTCTTCCCCCCCCACACACACACACAAAATGGCCAAATTAACCCTGTATAAGTCTGACAACAACAAATAATAATAATATTATTATTATTATTATTCCAACATTCAGACTTGGAGGCATCAATGCACAAATGGATAACTTGAGAAACAAAAGTACCAGTCACCCGAATCACCTATTTTCTACCTTCCCTAAAGATAAGCTATGAAGGTTTGGCTGCATTTTCTGAGCACTCACTAAATAATTTAGTGATTACCTGATATTTTCTCCTCAAGTTCAATACCATGACTAGATGTGCTTCTACTTCTCAATGATTCTAATAAGATCTTCCCACCACAGAACTAGACTTGCTGTCAAAAGACCACGGGTAGTTTCTGGTAGCCACTTAGAACCACCTCAGCTGCCATCTCCTTGATTAAAGCAGTGTTTCTGTGTTTAACTTGCAACCCCTGCACAAGATTTTGCTGAGATTTAGCTCTGAAGAGTTCAGTCAGGCAAGAAAGCAATGGGCAGAACGGAGGAGGTCACAGGCACATGTCTGCTGTCAGTATATACCTGTTAACTGCACCAGAGAAAAATGGGTGTAAGAAAGGTCTCCCAGGAAAGAAGAGGTCAGGTCTGAATACTGAAAAGCAGTCAGGAATATGAGAGGGGAGAGAGGGGGAGGGGGAGGGG